TCCTCTGGTTTTATGTCTTCACTCATGTGAGCAGATTTCTTCCATCTTACCCCCCCAGTGTGGAGGTGATCCTTGGTTAGGGTTGAATCAGAAGAAAGAAAAAATACTATAGGCTCAAAAAGGGACAACAAAGGATATATATATATATATATATATATATATATATACATATATGGATAAATGAAACAAAACCGTTCATCATCTCATACACAAAAGTCTTCGCAGAAGAGGTAATTAATATATATATATATATACATAGATTTTCAGGATTAAGTTTTATTCACATGAAAAAATGTAATTAATGCATGATAGAATTATTTCGAATTAATTCTCCTTTCTGCTTCTTGTTCCCAGCATGCCTCAATTGTACAAGCTCGTCTTCAGAAAATTGATGAGTGATGCCCCAAGTTGTGTCTTCTGGTAGGAAGGTTCATGTTCAAGTGAACATCTTGTACCTAATGCCTTAGGTTTTATTGGTAAAAAAATGTTGGGTTTACATCTAAAAGAACGATGATGTGACTTTATTGACTCAAAGGTTTCGGTATGACTCTTTATATCTCCATGAATTATTCTGGGTAAAAAAATCGAGCGATTTTTTTTGTTTTGTTTTTTTAACAGGATAAGAAAGGTCTGATCTTGCCATATGTCAAAAATCTATAATTCTTGAAGAATTAAAAGAATATTTAATTCATTTAATATTCAAAGAACTAAAAATTAAAATTTGCTCAATTATTTCACCTTAGAAGGTAGCATAAATTCAATCATTTAAAGGATTAAGCAAACATGAAATATCAAAATACGTTCAAACAAAACAATGCTCTCAGTACAAATGGTAGATGTAATGCCCCCTTCTTCGATTATCCATACTCCTGAATCCATCAAGTTTTGAATCTTACGCTTCAGTGCCATACAGTTCTTAGAGGAATGTTTGGAGCTTCCTATGTGATAATTGTGCACGATATCAATATCGTAACCCTCGGGATATAGGGACTCTTTTCTCAAATCATCTTGGCAGGCTTGGCCATACAATCAGCTGATCAGGCTTCCATTGTACTGATTTTAGTTTTAATTGATAAAATCTTTCTTCCATGTAGTGTCACGTGATTAAGAACACTGCATCGAATCCTCCATGAAGAAATTTATGTTTAAGAAAATGCTTAAAATTGAAATGTAGATGCAAAAATGCATGACATGCTCGAGGCATTGATCCGAAAACATGCTTGTTATTATAAATAATCCTTATTAGGGACAAAAGTGTTTTATCTTTTAAGAGACAAAAATATCTTGACAGCTTCTGACATGTTGACTAGTCTTCTGCCTTCGTCTGTCACCGGTTGAATAACCTGTCAAACCGCTCCGGCTTCTCTGGATAAATCGTGCAAATGTTAACCTCTCCAGATTCTCTGGATGAACTGTGCAAATGTTGAGTTACTTTTTTACTGGTCCAAGAAGTCTCAAATGACTGCATCTCTGCATTTATCTTTTATTGAACCTGTTCCCATCGAATACGTCATTGGAGCCCTCAATTGATAGGAACTATGTGAAGTTCATTTGTCTATTTCTTGAATTCATCAGCAATGGTCTCCAATTTCAGCTATCGTTTTGCCATTGTTATCTTTGAATGGACTCCTAAAATCAGTAACCTTCATCTTGCTCCTGCAATCTCTGTCAGTCAGTTCTTCAAATATAGGCTTTCATTGTGATTGATGTAAACCCGGTTCATTGTGAGTCCTTTATAATGCAGCAGAGTGATATACTCTTCAATTGTGGGCACAACGTCTTCTGGATCGAATGTGACACATAATCGCCTTGTAGACTGTCCCCTGTATTTTCATCTCTTGTATTACAACTCCTTTATCTATTAATGCAAATTATTTACGTTTAACGAACATGTTTTTATGGATCAACACCTCTTTTAAATGATGTAAATGATAAACAATAAAATAGAACAATAAAAAAAAGGGAAAATGAAATGAGAAAAAAAATTAGTGAGATAAGGATAATAAAAAAAATAATAATGAAAATAAAAAGTCTTACCCCACATGATATTTACCCCACATGCTTAGTATTCCTACTCGTACATGATCTCTATCCCGCAAGTTGATTTTGAACAAGTCCTAACCGCATAAATTTCTAGTTCACATGCTTTGAACATAAAATAAGGCAGGAAATGAACTCAAAATAGCCTAGGGTTTGAAATGAGGTTTTGGGGTGACTATAATTTTGTGTAGTCTCTCGGTTTAGGTTCTAAAAAACGGTACCCGAGTTCTCCTTGCCGGTGCCCCCTTGGGCTTTCCAGACCCTTAGTCCTAAACCCATCACAGGCTTGTGTGGACTAAGTTAAACTCGAGAGGACACATTCCCTTATGCCCGCACGGTGAATAAATTCACACGAAGACATAAGGTATATGAATCCCGAAGGTTACTTGCTAGGCCCGCACGGAGAATAAATTCTCACGAAGGCGTTGCTTTCACCCCCACTTAAATAGGGTTCGGAGCTCGGGTATAGAGCATGAGATGACAATTTTGAAAAATCTGAAAACATTAAAAACACGTTAGTACAACTATTTATTTGAAAAATATTCAAAGATAAATAATTGGAATCGAATAAATAAATTTAAATTTAAATTTACCATTTTCGCATAAAAAGACAACCGAAAATTAATTCTGGCCTGACTCACTTACTGTCCCCAGCGGAGTCGCCAAGCTGTCGCGACCGTCTTTCGGGTGGTTCCATAATTTGGCTTCGACTTGGAATAAAATATTGGAGTCACCACCGATCATTTATTTTTCGTAAAAAATTTGGTTGATCGGATACCATCTTACCTGATCTGCGTTTTACTAGAAATATGTCGGATTCGGGAGTCGATTACAGTTAAGGAAGGATTAGCACCCTTGAACTGCCCTTTCGGTACCATTTAATTTATCGGTTGTCTTAATTACGAAAATTACAATTTAAATTAAAATTTAGAGATTCGATTCAAATTACTTACCTTTAATTGATTAAAATTATCCTAAAAAATCATAAATAAAGTAAGAAAATAAAACAAACAAACACAAAGAGTTAGTATTAAGATTGAAATAAAATAAATAAATAAAAAGGAATGAAAAAAAATCAAATTAAAAATTAAATTGGAAACAATTAAAATTTATGGGTCGAATTAATCTTAAGTACGAGTTGCAAGAAAAACAAAAACTTAAGGGATTAAATAGCAAAAATAAAAAAATAAAGTACTAAAATAATACAAACGAAAAATTAAAGGATTAAAGTAGAAGGATCTAATAAATATATATGAACAAATAAGATCCTCAACAATCAATTTAAAATAAATACATGGCCTAAATTGTAATAAAATCTAATTATGTAGATTAAAATGCAAAACATAAAATAATAATTAAATAAAAAATAAACAAGGATCCAAATGAAAAATAAAATAAAATAACAATGGCTAAATAAAAAACTAATAGTGACTAAACTAAAATAAAAAATAAAATAAATATCATAATCAAATGATACAATAACTGATGCTACGGGGTCTAAATTAAAATAAATGTAAACATGATGTCCTAAATAAAATACCATAAAACATATAAATGACTAAAACAAAATAAGACATGATATGTAGCCCAAATTGAAATAAATAACAAAAATGCCAATTTTAGTGATCTAAATAAAACACTACAAGAATATAGGGACCTAAAGGATGTTTACCCATGATTTAATGCTCCAAACGTTACTTGGGCTAAAGAAAAGGCCTCATATAGTGATTTAGCCTTAACTTAGTGACGAGAATAATATGTATTTCCTAAATTTAGAGGACTTATGCGTGATTATACCATGAGTTAGTGATAAAGCATGAAGCATCTTTAGAACCTAAGGACCTATTGCTAAATTTACCCAAAAATTAAAAAAAACACATAACCCCACCTTTATTATTTCCAGTACACGCTGAACCAAAACCAAAATCAGCTTTCCCTTTTCCTATTTTCAATTCTGCCCTTGTTTCTTTAATCCCTAGCCTTATGTTTTCTTTTCCTTCACCAGCGCGACAGAGCAGCCATGGCGACCAAATATCCAGTGAACCCGAGAGTCACACCGACCACTCGACTCTAGATCCGACGACGGTGACACCCCTACTCCGACGAACACCGAAGCAAGGTAACCTAACTCCCTATCTCTATTTTAATTATTTTTTAGAACTCATGGAATTTAATTTAACTACGAACAAAATTACAAATTAAAATTCTTATTATTAGCTGCATTCGAATTAAACAAATAAATTAAAAAAAACTTAAATATAAACTGAAATACCTTAGGATTGCTGAAAAAAAATCTGTATTTTATTGCTATTTTCCTTACTGAAAAACCGAGAGCAACTGTCCCCTATAATTGTTTCCCTTCGTTTCTGTTTTTTTTCTTCCCTTTCATACATGCATTCCACTTTTTTTTTATAACCAAATTTACATTGATTTTATATTTTAAAATCGTGCAACTTGGTTGGTGTGATGATGCTTTGATTTTTTTAATTTATCCTCTAATAGTGGGAGGCAATGACAACGGTAAGTGGGCATAGGATGGCTGGCAGCTTCACGTGGGCATGAGTGTAGTGTTGTGAATGAGGATAAAATCTGGGGTCTACATAACTACATTCATCAACTTTTTTCACCCATCAAGCATTAAAAATTAAAAATATTTTTCGAAAAATATTTTTCGTAAAACAAATAAAACTAAGATTGAAAAAGTGTATTCGTAAATTCTGAACTATTAGTATTTAATTGGGTGAAAGAGAGAAACATAGGCTTAAAGTTGTAGGATTTTAGGGGGAAAACTTATGCCCACTTCAAATTGATTTATTGAGTTTCAAATTTTCTTTATTTAAAAGATCAATTCGAAATGCAGAAGAGTTTACCTGTGGCTGCAGAACTTGAGCTAGTTTCAAATAATTTCCAACAATATGTAACATCCTAAAGCTAAGCATTGAATTAAGTTGCTAAGGGGAAAAATAACACAAATTTATTCAGTTGACCCAGGCTGCATATTATTAGTCTTCTATTAACAACAACCTGTACTGCTCACAGACCCGGAACCTTAATTCAGACAAATTTGTGTTTAAACTGCATGGATTGGACTCCCACTTGAATTCATGCTTGACTTACCAGGACTAGGATTCACATGGAAAGCGGATGCCCTGGATGAACCATTGAGTTTTAGTGAAAGAGAGGATGTGCCACTATCACCGATCGATTCTCCCAATCTCAATTTTGACAACCCAACCAGCTGCTTGACATTGATCGGACTCTTTGAATGTACAGCCATTGGCTTGATCACTTGATGTGTGTCCTTGGTCTGTTCGGTATTCTGACCCATCCGATATGGAAGTGAAAACGGAGAGAATGGCAGGAAGTAAGCAGGATATAGTGCTGGGTGACAGGGTTGTGAGGTATCCGGTTTTGGAGGAATATTTACATTGTCATTCGAGTTGTTGGCGTCCATTGATTCACCTTCTTCATCCAATGCAGGGCTCTGTGTTTCAGGCTGTGGAGGGTTTTCCAAGAACAAATCCTGTGGAATGTTGTCGCTTGACTGCAAGAATGTGAAGAAGAAACAGATCTCAGCTAGGAAAGAGGGGCAAATGAGATGCATAAACAATGGTCATGAGCATCACAAATGCAGTGCATCCACTAAAAACAAATCAATTGAAGAATAATAATATGGATATCAAAAGTAAATCAAAAAGTAGGAAGCCAAATTTGTTATTCACATGGGTAAAAGATTTGAAAACGGAAGCATCATTAGTAGAGAGAAGGGTACTAACTTCATCGGCTACAATATCAAAGAGGCTGGATCGTCTTTTTCCCCGGGAAACATTGCACTGCCTGATGAAATATTTCTGAGCATGGCTGGCTACTTGAGTAGGAGTCCTCGAAATAACATAATTGCGTGAGATTCCACGCCAATCGCCTTTTCCAAGCTTCTGCAGTCCAAGTAGAAACATCCTATGCTCCTCTTCCGTCCAAGGAACACCTGCAAAAACAAATGAGATTTGCTGAAGGCACACACTTGCTTAGAGAAATGACTAAAGCAATCACCTGGACATCAATCTACCATATAATTGCAACCATTATTAAGTTTTGAAAGGATTATTCAAAACTAAGCAGGGATGGACCGAAAAGGGTGCGTCATGCAAAATTTTAATTTCTCCTACAATATATATATATATATCATCTATTGATGATATAACTTAGCTGCCCTAAATTTCTAATATAACTTCCTAGGATCCCATCGTGTCGGTCCCTGAAACTAAGAGAGAACAAATCTGATAATCAATCATTAGATCAATATAAACCAATAAATTTAACATTGTAGCATCAATAATCAAAGGTTTTTAGATCGACATCCATCACATATTAAATCAAGAACAAGCCTTTGCTTGTCCAATTTCTTTACCCACCAGTTTCATTACATATTACTAAAGGCATTATTTATATGATTCATTTCTTCTTTCAACAACAGCACACCTTAGAGAAATAAGCAAAGCAAATCAACTTATGAGAGATCAAATAAGTTCTTCGAAAATAGAAGAAGTGAAACCTCTTTTCCTTTCACGACTCGAAGACGACCCGGGGACAAAATCCTCAGAAGCATAACCATCTGCATGATCCGGGCCCCCACAGGGAGAACCCGACCCATTCCCGTTATGCATGCCCGAATTCGACCCGAAATACGGGCTTAAGTTACCCATACTGGCGCTTTTCCGAATCGACCCGTCGGTCAACCGTACTCCGAATAGCTTGACCCCTCGGTTCGGGCATGTGCGGGAGTTGTGTCCGTTGTGGCTGCAATGCGAGCAGCGATGAGTCATCTTCTCACGGCGGGGGTAGCTCCGTTTCTAGACCAGACAAAGCGGGGAAGTAGGGTGATAGATGAAAATCGGATCTTGGAAACCCGGATCCGAACCGCAATACGGGAGGACCTTGCCTCTAAAGGAAAAAGAAAAACTTGCAATGGCAGTTTTTTTAGCAGATAGAGAGACAGACCAGAGAATATCCAATTTATCTTGAATTGTTTGTGGATAAAAGACACATTTAAGCCTAAACTATTACTTTTATTCTATTTTTGTACTTAAATTTCATTCTCTTTCAAAACCATACTTAATATTTAGTTTAAGTTTTCATTTTATACCCAGTCATTAAAAATTAACAAAACTGCCTATCTGGTTTTTTTTTCCCAATGATGGCGTGATATTTTATTATGGTGATACGTCAACATCACTGTTAAAAGTTTTATGGTGGGATACCGAAATGAAATATAAATTAAATATTAAATATAATTTTGGAAGAATACAAAGTTTGGGTACCAACAAAGAACAAAAATAATAGTTTAAATACTAAATGTCTTGTTTACCCATTGTTTTTTTTATTGTGGAAATGAAATGATGGTAGGGACCATCTAGGATTTTTCATCCGTTGACATCGTCAAAGTCAAAATTGGTCTCACGAAATCATGCGTTTGGTGTGGGGAGTTGACTCCATTTCCATATATATATATATATATATATATATATATATATATATATATATATATATATATATATATATATATATATATATATATATATATGTTTCTTTTTCGGTTTAAATGTCTTATTGTATTATTTTAAAATCTAAAATTTAATCTTTATATAATAATTTTGTAAATTAAGTGTATATATTATTTTAAATATATTTACTCTTTTATTAATTTATATTTAAGTTTATTGTTTATGGGTACTTTTACAATTATAAAAATAAAATGAATTTTAATATTTATATTTATTATTTTTTATCAATTTATTATTTTAAAACTATAAATAAATGATTAAAAAGTATTATATGATTAATAGTTTTCTATTTGTTTCTTAAAGATTAAAATTCAAATTAATTACACTTATAAATGTATGAGATTAAGAAAAAAATGTAACCCCTAGACATGGTTTGGACGCTACGATCGAATTTCGAAGACCACAACAATAATTTGGTCTAACAGAAGTAGTGAAACTTTTAGACTAAAACATGCATCATCTAAATATCAGTATAATTTCATAAACGAAAATAAGAGTTCATAATACGTACTATAATACGAGTTTAAAATCCAAAGTAGATAAAAATAATTTAATATCCCAAAATCCCATAAATAAGTATAAAGTTAACAGAAAAGAAATAACATAAAAATTGAAAATATTTTTATGATGTCCGTAAAGGAAATGACCTACTAAACTATCCTCCGTGTAACAGTCGTTGTCTTAATGTTCAAAGCAATCTAAAAAGATTGAAAATATAAAGTAAGCTATTAAGCCCAGTGTGTCTTCTACAGTAAAACAAATAAGAATTGCATATCATAACTAAACCAAACATATCATAAAGAGGCAGTTTGAATTCAGATAGTAGTAATCTATTTGACCATTACCAAAAAGTTGTTATTGAAAATGCACTCAATTTACATGTCATCGTGGATATCATGATGCAGACGTTCCCTCCGAAGAGGATACATGTCAAAAACAGAAATCAGAATGAGGATATAACCCTCCTAAAAATATCTCAAACAAAAACAGGACGAGGATATGATATCATGTAGAAACAGGATGGAGATATAATCCCATGCAGAATCAAGACGGGGATTTAATCCCATGGAGAATAAAAAATGCATCAATATACATATTAAATGTGATGCAACATTATTAAAGAATCAAACATGTCTCTCTCTCGCTCTCTCTCTCTCTCTCTCACACACACGCACACGCTGACGCACACGCACACGCACACCCGCACCTACACCCACTCACACCCACACCCACCCACACACACACACATATAAATATATTCAATTTGTGAGCATGCTTACTTATAGCAACTGTAACACCCCCAACCCGTACTCAACTCAGATACGAGTTCGAGATGTCACATTAACTTTTTAAAATAATATTCTTACAAAATAACATAATATTTGGACTTATATTAAGAAAATACGATAATATACTATTGAATTATGTTTCATTGTAACAAATTTAAGGCAAAAATATTTTTATGAATAGTATTGTACTGTATGAATAGTATCGATATTGTGGGAACAGTAATGAACAATACTGATGCTAAAAAATTCCAGAATACTACAGGGGTATCGATACCCTGCTACAGTGTATTGATACCTTGCTACAATAATTTCGACCAAACATATATAAAACTCATAAAAACTTAAACTTTCATTACTATAAAGTTACCATTTACATAAATACGTTTAAAACATTACAAAACTCGATCAGAGCTTATCGTATTCAAATCTTTATTTACATGCCAACCACAATCAGTATTACAAAATACATACTATTCAATTCTTTTCTGATCTGATCTTTGAAAATGAGAAACTGACATGTCTTACTTAACTTTACTCCTTTTTCTCAGAACCTACGTGTGAAACAATCACATGCTAAGTCGTTAACTTAGTGAGGCATATAAAACATATAATAAAACCATAGAACATTTCATATAACAGAATGCATACATACACATATATCATCATTACCAACATCAACATCATTATCATGTAATACATTTCATTCAACAATAAACACATTATCACATATAAATCTTGTAACATATTTCATATAACAAAGCATATACACCACATACAATGTATTTATTATTATCTCTTTATTAGCCCATGTACACATGTGATTCAATGTAAACAATAATACAGGATGTCACATAATAATGCAAACACTTTTGATATCTTTTATAGGCCCATGTACATTATTGAGAACTCAAGGTATATGAGTACACTGAGGTTGTGCACTCATATGTTGTCACCACAGCTCGTATAAATGTCCCGGAGGACCAGTCCATAGGTCCCGAAGAACCTAGGTAAACAGTCCATATGTCCCGAAGAACATAGTTAAACAATCCATATGTCCCGAAGAGCATAGGTAAACAGTCCATATGTCCCGAAGAGCATAGGTAATCAGTCATATGTCTCGAAGAACATAGGTAATTAGTTCATATGTTCCTAAGAACAAAAGTAATCAGTCCATTTTGTAATTTTCTAAAGCTTGTAGAATACTTCCTACATCATTTCTAGACCTTATATAATTTTTCCATACTTTTTCTCACTCAGATTCATCATGTTCAAATTTTCAAAGAATAATTTTAAGAAATATTGAACATGTTCTAACCATGAATGAAGCTTGAAAATGAATCTATAACATCTAAATCATCAAGATTTATCATTAATTTCATGAATCCTATCATGAACATAAACCCTTAGATTTGGGATCTTTGAAATCCAACAAGATTAGAAAGAAATATTGGTACCAAATGATAGCGTTTTTCGCGTAGATCACTTTCCTATTTCACGACATAACTCGAATTCCAAAAGAATTGGCTCAAAAATTGAAAACAAAATTTATTTCTTACCTTGGGAGAAGCTAATGTCTTGTTGCTGGAGAAGATTAAGAAATGTTGATAATTCTTCATCTTAATTTAATATTTAATGAATTAAAAATTCATTAAATGTCAAATTATTACTTTACCCTTGAAATCAAAATATCTATACTAATTTACCCTTAATTAACTTGATATTTACATTAATACCAAGCTACAGTAACCTTATCATCTTTCAAAGTCAAAGATGAACAAAATATTTTCCCATTTTACCATTTTATCCTTAAAATTTCTAAAACTTACAATTATGTCACTTTAATCCAACAATCCAAATTAAACATGGAATTAAATCCTTAAATATTATTTTCCAACATTTAAAAATGTGAAAATAATATATTTATTTCCTTATTTTCAAAACCAAATATAACTTTTCAAAATTACCATTTTGGTTCCTGAACTTTTCAAAAGTTTATAATTTGGTCACCAAACTTTACAAAATCTTATAATTTGATCACTAAATTAATCCATTTATGGAATAAATTCTTTTTGGGAAAAATACCACTTAGATCTTTAAACTTTTCCCATTTTTCTACTTTGACCATCAAACTTTCAAAATTTACATTTTGGTCACTAGTCCTCTTTTTGGGGTGTTATAGCAACACACAACATAATAGTATAACATATAAAATGTATCGAACATGTTAAGGGGATACACCTATAGTAGTTAATCAATACCAGCTATGACGCTTCCCACAATCGGTCGCACTAGGTCATGCGGAATGGGGACCTAAAAATAATACCACTATATAAATACATATGTTAAACAACTAAACGAAAATAAATTATAAAGTCACTACATAGAACTTATGCGCATCTCGAGATGAGCAGGAAAAATCAAACTAGTTAGAATGGGAGTGATTAGGATCTACTGGAGAGTGGTTTGGAGACACGAGAGTAACTTTAGAAAATAACACCAAAAATTGAGTCCAAAATCTCACTTTTTACTTAACATAACTAAGACTTTAAATGATAAATGACGTAAAACAAGGTTTTCAGATCATAGTTTAGCAAAACAGACTGCGAAAATAGACTCGAGATGTCGAAAAACATAATGATAGGGTAATTAGAAAAAATCAACGGGTCAAAGGTAATGGTCAACAATCAACACTCATCGGTCAAAGTCAACAGGCTAACAGGTCAATAAGTCAACAGGTTAATTGGTTCGATCAACCGATTCGGGTAGATTGATCCAAGTAGACCAATTCAATGATTTAAATTGTTAGAATTAGTTTACACGCACACGGTATTGCATAGGGGTGCGCGAGACAATGTCTGGTGGCCGTTTTTGCATGAAAAATTAAAGAAAATTATTTCCAAGCATATAGAGTCACTTACCGAGGTCGGCTTACAGCGGGAAATGATAGAATTGAATTTTCTTGAAAACCCAAAATTAAAACTCCTCACCCAACGTTAACGATAACAACAAAGGATAAACCGAGGGTACCAGATGAACTACGATGGTAGAAAAAAATAATGACACCAGCGGTGAGACACACAACGATATGATTGGTGTCAACTCGAATAAATAATGAAACAATGACAAAAGG